AAAATATATATATATTTTCAGTTCTGGGCAGTTTCCCACGTAGTTCTAACAATTGAGAGAAAAATCCTGAGGGGCCAGAAACTCCAAAGTAATAACTCAGGTGAAAGAAGGAAACAGGGGCGGCGGCGGCGGTGGGGGGGCATTTATTTATCTGTTATATTTATTTTGGTCACTTTTTTGGTCACTTTAGTTTATTCTTTGTCAGTATTTAATAACATAGCTCAGGTCTCTTAAGTTATTTTTCTTTAAAACAATTCTGTTATGGTTAAAAAAGTTGGTTAAATAAAGATTTAATTAGAAGTCTGTGTTTGTGTTTTTTATTAAAATTAAATCATTTAGCATTATAAAAAGTCCAGGCAGAGCTGCACATAAAATATGGTTTCAAATCTTTTCAATAATTATCGATATCGATCAATATGCATTTTTTTTTATCGATAAGCTTTTTTTCTATATCGCCCAGCCCTACTACAAACTGATTTTTATAAAGCAACATTTAAACGGCATCCTTTTCTCTAGGATCAATTTTATCATTTTATTGAAAAGGTTCCACCTCAGCATAAATCTTAGCCGTCTGATTTAGGTTTTTCTGCAGTGCTACACAACAGGCCACTGACTGTAGAATTAAAGAGATTATTCCTCTGGGACTTGTTGACGCTGCTCTGCCCATTAACCAACAGATGCTCTATGAGAGAATCTAGGCCAGTCACGATGAGGACCTCAGAAGTGCTGCTTCCTTTCAGAATGTATTTGGATGCATTTCTTTAATGCAACCGCACTGTGATAAATAAGAGAAAAAATAAATAATCTAAACTGCCTTCAGCTGGAACAGCCCCACATTTACACCGTGACATTATGCTGTAACGAATGATAAAAATTATCCAAAGTTTCCATAAACTACTTGATTTATTACTGCTTGATTCAACATCTTTTCGCTTTTTTTCTCTTGTTCAAAGGATAAAACCGATTGCAGTTAACTTCCCAGGCTGTCATAATGAAGTTTCACACTTTCCAGCCATTTCAAACACAACCCATCTTTGAGGAAATGAGTTGTGCTGCTTTCAAAATGAGATAAACAGCTGGCAATCTGTCTGCCTAGTATGCAAAAGCACTTTCCTCAACAACAATATCTCTTGAAAAGTTAGTCACATACAGAACCTAAGATGTCTGACTTTATAATCAATAAATCCTAATTATGTGGAAATAGCAGACCCAAGGCAGAAAAAGGTGTTTTTGTTTGATGAGAAGCATTGTGTTTTTTGTGTTAACTGTGAGGTTCTGGTGTTTTTTTCCACACAGCAAATTAATTGATTAGTGAAGGATAATAATTAGATTAAAACTGTAAACATGACTCGGCAGATCTAAAGTAAATCAGGTATTTACCTGCAGGGCAGAAGCGCTGCTCAGGTCCGTCATAAATGGCAAGGTTCCTCGCCACAGGGATGCTGTCATCCTTTAAGGTCAGGTGCGGAGGCTGGTCCCCCTCATGATTGGTGCCGCTCAGGGCCACAGAGGACAGGAGGTCAAAGCTAATCTTGCCGTCGGGCTTTGGATACTCGATGGGTTTACAATCTTTCGCTGGTTTCAGCTGGTTTGCATCAATGCCTGCCGTATAAAGAGTGCTGCTGGTTAGGAAATGTTGACTTTCTGAAGTGATATGATGTAGTAACACTCAAACACCGGCGTCTGCAGGACAAGGCTGGTCCCAGTCAGAACAGATAACATGTTCAACCACAATGACTTGGAATATAAGGTTTTACAGCAGCATCTCAATCAGTTTCAAATGGTAGCTTAAATTATTAAACAATACTAATAACTTTTCAATACAGAAATATGGACCTTTGTTCTCTTGACCTCTTTGCCTTAAATCCCTGAATAAATGCAGTGCAGCTGACATCAGGTTCAGGTTGTTAAATTCAACTAACTTCTCAAACACAGGTCCAATATCAGAAGACATCATTGTTCCCTAAATCAAAGTGCAGCCTTGAAAACAGTAATATAAACATATGACTGTATATTCACAGTTCTAACCTTTTTTTTTTTTCAAACAATATAATAAAATACAATAAAATAACCCATTTTACAAGACATTCAGCAGTCTAAATAATCAGGTTGTCCTTGAAAAAGGTACATCCTGTCCGTCTGCTCTCTTCCTATAAAGACTGATTTTACTAGGTTAATCCAGTCAACTTATATCTGAAAGTATTTTTAAAGAGTTATTTAACCCTAAATCAACTTTCTTTGCTAATAAATTGAATAAAAAAAAAAAATGATTTCAATAACCAATGAAACAAGAAAATTTACACTTCAAATAAGGAAACACAATTGCATAGTCTTATTTTCAGGTAAAAATACTCAATACATTGGCAAACTATCTCATTTACCTACTCAAATTAAGGATAAATACACTTAAAATAAGAAAATTTTACTTATTTCTAGATGGTTTTTCCAGTGTGGCCGTTAGGTTACGTGGATTCTGGCGTCCTTTATTAGCTGCACCTGTGTGTCTTTCATTGGTTGCCATGATGCTAATGCTACAGTGTGGGTTTTGGGACATTATGTAATGAAAGTGTGCTTATAAAATGACATCTCAATATTAAACATGACTGCTAAACCTTTGTTCAAAACAATGCAGCCCTTTTTATTTCCCTGTAGAGAAGCAAGATGAAACACTTGAAATATATCACTCTTCCTGTAGAAAAATCTATATAACCTTCCCTTCATAAATGAAATAACAGCATCATATTCACTGAGGAGTACTTGTATAAGAGTGAGAGCCTTTGCATTGGCCTATAGTCTGAAAAGTCCACAAAAGAGAAAACATTTCTATAGTTTCATTTAAAGCTTTTTTAATTTCCCCGTTTTCCTTCATGCAATTGACTTAACATAAATGTTGCTGCTCTAAATAGTGTTGCAGTAATAAGTCAGAAACAAAGGGATCGTCCTCACCTTTGTGTTTGAGCGTCCAAGGCTCTTTTCCTCTTAACATCCAGTAGAAGATGCCGGTGTAAACCATCCCACCATAAAGACCAAAGTAGTTGTGGAAGGACGGCCTGATGTTCCTGACTGCATACAGCTCTTTCCACACAGAGGAACTCTTCAAGCTCTCGCTGTACTCTGGTACATGAAGCCCTAGGACAGAATGAGGACAGATTAACATCTATCCATTAGTTTTCTCTCCTTTTTTTTGCCAGTTGTTAAAGAACGAAACCAGCTGATATTTCTAATCTAAATGTTCATTTATGGCAGAGGATTCATGACACTACTAAGCAGCGTCTTGCGTGCAGAAAGCTGCCAGAGCCCGCGTCATCCTGGGACATCTTAGGTCAGTTATTATCAAGCTTTAGGTGTTTTAATTTATCTGTGTTTAAGTTGCTTAAAAAGCAGGGTTTTGGATCTAGAAATTAAATCACATCCAAGCTAAGAATTGGGAACCGGAATGAGACTGGTAGAAATATAAGCAAATAAAAAGGTATTTTTCTCTTTATATGTTAAGTCAACGAACACAGTCAGAAATAGTTCTATTTTAGTCAAACTTTTAATAAAAACCTTCAAATGAAGAGCAGCTATATCTAAATGGGAGCAGTTTCATTTGGAATTCAAATTTCTAATAGTTATTTTACATTTCATAGATTTAATCTGTTTTATCTGTTATATTTCGTAACAATGCCAATAAGAAATAATACTTAGAATTTCTGCCATAGAAGTGACTGTATGACCAATTCTACCTTTAAATAATAGGCTGTGCATCACTGACGTATTTTTCATGTTGACAATGCTTTTCTAGGGAATTTCAATCTAAAAATGTGCTGAAAGCGCCAGATATCCTTCAAAGTCTTTGCCCAGACATTTTTATTGATATTTCAGTCTTTGATTGATGCTCCTATAGGTCGAGTACAGAGTTTTGTGCCCGTTTGAATGCTGCTGTCTTGTTACACTTTAGTTACCTTTCAGTCAACATTTCAAACTTATCAAAGTCCTCGCCATGGTAAATGATACCCTTTATAGATCTGCAATCTTAGAATTAAAGATGGAATATATGAGACTCAATTATTAAAGATTATACAGCTGATCCAAAATGTATAAAAAATTTAATAAAAAGATCCATCAGAGTAAACTTGCAGGATTATGTTTGGTATTCTAATTTGAGTGAAAAAGTTCAAATAAACTAAATGGTGTAATACTCCGATAACTTATTTATAGGTTTTCATTAACAGTTTACCATTTCCTCACTCTGTGTTGAAGTAAATAGAGATTAAAACCAAAACAGCCGACAGTGAATCTGAATCCTTAAAGGAGTAATAATTCCGTACCTGCAGTCTCTGAGTCCAGGCTCTCTGCTGTGACTTTAGGGAAGATGGCTTCAGCAGCCAGCATGCCGCTCTTCATAGCTGTATGGGTGCCTTTGATCTTTGGGACGTTCATGAAACCAGGGCTGCAGCCGATCAGCAGTCCTCCAGGAAACGTCAGCTTAGGGATAGACTAGAGAGGAATATAAAACAAAGTGGGTTTTATTCAGCTGTCTAAAAGGTGCGACTTGCTACTTAATTTAGGCCACCAAATAAAGACATTAATGCATATTTAGTTTACCGTTAATGACTGTAATGGCCGTATGTGCAACCACACAACAAATGGTCTGGTAATTCTTTCATTAAATCTTATATTTTACTGTACTGTATTTAATATTTTTTTTTTTGCATTGATTTGGCATTAGCTGACTATTTTGGTGCACACATTTGGTTGACTCATTTTCTAATTTCTTGCATGGTTTTCTGTAGATTAATATATTTGTCATTTGAGTTGCCAGTTCCTGGGAGGCTGTCACGAGTGAAGCCAGTAAAGGAAAGGAGGCCCCAGCTGCAAAGGATCTCCTCATTGACATGGAGGCCTAGTTGGACTCTTCCACCTACTTTTAGAAGGGGTGTTGGAAGGGTTTAAGTTTCTGTATTTGGTTTTGTTTTCTATAATTAAATTTGGAAAGTTTAATACTTAAGTCCTCTTCCTCATAGGTTGCTGATTTAGTATGGTGCTGATCAGTTTTGTCTTTTGTTGTTGTTTTGTTTAGGAAAATGTATTTTACGTTTCCCTCTTTTTTTAAAATGGTCTGATCAACCAGTGTATATAAATATATGTTTCCCTTGTGTGTCAGTTAGGTAGGTCTTTTCCTGTGTCAGGTTTGGATTATGCTGATTTTTGTCATTTGTTTTCCTTGATGGGCCCAGTCTTGTTAAAAGTTAGAACTTTATTTTTGCTAAATAAATTTGTAACCATTTTTTCATTAATGACTTCCCTGTGCTTCTCTGATTTTTTTGGCTCTGTCCCTCACAATGACAAACACGTTAAACTATTTTCCTTTTCTATAAAGTAACAAAAATAGCTGTACATTTTGAGTAGCAGGGTTTGGATGCTAAAATGTAAAACCATGTTGTTTTTTTTCTAGACCAACTATGAACAGATGTGACTCAGAAGCATCCGTGGATCAAATTTAATGATCATCCTGCAAAGAAACAAACTCTAAAGTTTCAGTAAACAATCTGTTCCGGCTCCTCATTAGAAAATAACAGAACCAGGAAACCAAAACCAACAAACTTAAAAGGTTGCCTAAAACTTTTCAAGCCAAACTTGATTGACACTAACACAATATAAAAGAGGTAAGTTTGTTATAGTTAAAATCATGCAGCAAGTGTTTTTATCTTAAAGAAAATTGAACTACTTTGTTAATATTATTAATGTTCTAGAGGATTATGTTAGAACAGCTGGCTGCATCTCGAAATTATAACATAACGGCAACAATGAGTGGCTTTTCTTCCCGATTAAATCAAGGGCAAAGGTCAATCTTACCTGGTATCCTCCCTCGTTTAAGGCTCTGGCTCCATAAGCTATCCTCTGACCTCCCTCCAGTGTGGAGGCTATGAAAGGGTGATGTTTCCAGCGTTGGAACTCCCTGAACGGGCTTAAATAAGGATTGGAATAATCTAAACCAATCTGGAAGAAAAACAGAAGAGTTCATCAATAGTAGAAATGAAACCTTGCAAGCATATACCTTTGGCAATCAATCAAGTCCCAGTTTTCATTACTTTTTCAAGTGTTTTATCTCATTGAATATCATAAAGAAAGAAAATTTTTCAAAGTTGCACCGGATGCTGTATTATAAACAAATGTTCAGTGAGTTTATCCTGCAAAGCAAATGAGCATCTGCAACAATCTCCCCCTAAGGTATGAGTGAAATATTGCACTCATGAGGAATAGATGATTATCCTGACAGTTTGTTTTTATCAACACCATGAGGCTCAGTTGTCAATTACATGCAGATGGAGTATGAAAACACTCACCACGAAGCCTAAGGCAACTAGAGGTTCTCCTTCATTTAGGTGATACAGGAAGGATCCGCCATATGTGTGTCTGTCCAGGGGCCAACCGACCGAATGCTCTGTCCTGCCGGGTCTCCACTTCTTCTCATCAATCATCCACAGCTAAAGATTAGATTGGAGGGTTTAAAAAAGAAAAAAGTTATGAAGGTTGACTCTTGCTAGCTTTTTTAAACAACACTTTGAAGACTGTGAGAAATCTCTGGAGCGTGAGTGTTATCAGCTTCACCGCTACAGCCGCTAAACTGCAGTGACATTTGGGTTATTTCACTTTACGTTTAGTATTTTAATTATTTCTTTTTTGGCAGAATTAACCAGTTAAAGAAGAACCATTATCGTTAGTTTTTTTTCCAAACAGTGCGATGTGTTTTTACCAGTTAAAGTTAGTTACCTCTTTCAGACCAATAGCGTAAGTCTGGGGTTCACAGTTCTCCCGCAGGTTGAACTGCTTATAAAGCTGCTTGGCTAAATGGCCGTGGCAGCCTTCTCCAAACAAGGTCACCTTAGCATGTAGCTCCATTCCTCGCTCAAAAACATCCTGAAAAATGGATTTAAAGTAAAACATATTGAGTTGTATCAGAGATTTAAACAGCAAAATGTTGTAAAAAATTAAAAAAATAACCACTAACATAAGGCCTCCATGTGGTTAACCAGTAAAATAAAACCAATTAATGCAATCAGCAGAAGAGGGATACATCATTTTTCAAATGAAAATCTAAAATGGCAGCCAATTTTTGGTTCCCTTTATCAAAATAAATAATAAAAAAAGAAATCCAGTAAAAAGAAATCCTAATATTAGTCTAATAATGAGAGCTACTGATCTTATTTTCCCTCCCAACATGCAAATGCCATGTTTTGTAGAAAAATAACCAAAGGGGAAGGCGACATGATGCTAAAAACATCCTGGGGGGGAAATATAAAAACTTTTGAAGGCTGCAGGTGAGTCCAGCTGAACTGTGATGAAAACAATAATTAAAGACTAGAGCAGGATGGAGAAATCTATGAGAGAATGATTAAAGAAAAAACTAACTATGTAACATAAAGCCCTGGATACAGCGTTAGTAGTGGTTTGTACAAAAGGGAGATTTGTTTTATAATTTGGGGACCTTCAGTCTGTATTTATACAGAGAATTATGAGTCAGTTTTTTTAATTTATTTATTATAGTGATTTGTGAAAATTAGTCTTTCTGGCTTTGGTGTGTTTTCCTTCTTCAACTTATTACAGTTAATCACAAGGAGTAAAGGAGGCTTTGACTGAGAAACCGAAAGAGGCAAGAAGGGAGAGATAATCTGGATTTCATTCTGTGAACTTGTCCCACCAAAAAAAAAATAGGTTTAGAGTTTATTTTTGTTTTTTAGTTTTTTGAAAAAAAAAAAAAAAAAAGGTTATTTCATAGGAGTTTGATAGACTTTGCAAAACACCATTCAGAGGTTTTTACAGGATTATGCTTTGGGCTTAGTTGGGAGTTTTATTGAGGTTTTAATCTTGTTTATTTAGACATCAGAATTATACTATATCAACCTAATATGATACAAGTCTGGGCCATAACGCCTTGCTGCAATTTACAAGACAGCGAAAATGTTTAACATTTGAGTTTCTATTGAAGGGGGGAGGTTTCTGCTTTTACATTGGTCCTGCTCTGTTTAACCAAACAGCTGAAAAATTAACCTTCTGTCATCACAGTTAAGAAACCAAATGATGTCTTGCAGATAAGAGATTTATTCAAAAGTAAGAAAACAGGTCAGGGATTAAGACTGATCCTAAGGTGTAAAAAAAAAAAAAAAAATCAGTAAGTATTCAGACAGTTCAGAGAGATTTAAACAAGACACAGCTGGCCTCAGCTTCTAAGAAATGTAGAGAGACTCAAACAACAGAAAAATAAGAGTTTCCATCTATCCCTAGTATATTAATCCTCCATTTCCAATAACATAAAAAGAGACTAGATCAAATTTGTTTTCTTTACGGTACATTACCTTCGGTGAGCCATCCTTGGCAATGCCTACATCATTAGTGGCGATACCTTTAACACTTCCGTCCTCGTGAAACAGGACCTGAAATTATAACGCAGGTGATGGAGAGGATGGATGTGTCTATAAAATGATGAAGACACACACTGTTAACCAGCTGTTCCAAAAGATCAGATGTGTATATGCAGTTCAGATGAGACATTATTTTAGATCCACACAAAAATCCTATTCAGGGTAAATTTATATATGATGAACCCAAGTTATTTTTTAAATGAGAAACAGCAGAAGATTGAGTGTTATATTTCTTCGACTACGCAAAATAATTTGTACGCTTATCCTCTAAAATCTTTATTTAGATGTCACCATTAACTGATTTCCTGTTTCGGCCAGGCTTGTGTTTATGGGTCTTCCTCCATCGTTACAGTTTTCTTGCACAGCTAAAATGCTACTCTGTCAACGAGCACCCCTGTCAGAGCAGAGCATCCCTCCTCTTTGCCTTGATAATCTCCTGGGCTGCTCTCACAGCTTGCTTTAAAACAGATGTCCGTCTGAGCAGTGGGATGTCCTTCAATCAGCTCTGCTGTATTTGGCCCACTGACAGCGGGTCCCTCCAGAATTCAACCCACTGCTTCTGTCAGATGATCAAATACCACAAGTGACTGAGAGCCATCTGGAAGCCGTACGGACCCGCGCCATCTAACAGCGTCCATGTTAAGGTCGGTCAATTCAAGCTTCGCTATACTTTCATCATTCAGCCATTTAAAGACAATTTGATCTAAGTTTCATCTGAACAAACAAAAGAAAATGAAAACTGTCTCTGATATCTCATTGCTTCAAGTTTTAAAATCGGAATCAACTTAAAAGTTCATTATATTGAAACTTAGTAGTGATCAGGAAGTTGTAATTTCAAGTTTCAAGCAAATTAAATATGCTGTCTGTGCAGATAGGGTGAGAGGGGCATGGAGAGCAGCAGTACCAATAGCGTTAGCATGTGGTTTAAAAAAAAAAATATATATATATATATACCGAAGTCAAGAACCTGTCAAAATTCAGAAGTTTATATTCAATCATCAGTATATAAATGCATAATAATCAGTCTTTAATTGTGTAAGCTGCATTTTATTAGTTTCTAAGGGTGAAATAATTATCCAACACACTGTGAATCTTCTTTAGCCTGCACAGATTAGAATAAAAATGAACAAACAAGTTTGTTAGAGAGAATTGGTTTGATAAAAAAACAAACATATACATTAATAAATAAGATTTAGGACATTGTAAAAGAAAACAAGTAAAGTGAGTCATGAACTACAGTTTAAATCCCATTTATTGGAGCCTTTATTCATGCATATATGTTATATTTGAAAGCAGAAAATAATGCAAGTTAAGGTTCTACTACAGGTTTCCATTTCTCCTCCATCTAGTGAAGATACTCAAATAAAAATCCTTCTCTGATATATTAAATTACAAAATATCTTTATCATCCTTATTGACCAATTATTTCACCCACTAGTGGTAACTAATTGATAAAATAAAATGACTGAAATCTATACATAAATCTCCAGTAATATTTGATACTGTAAAGTGTGTTTTTATGACCAAAAAGATTTAGGTTGGTGATCTATTAAATAAATTTATATCTCAATAACTAGACATACTTCTGATCTGAGCCAGATTCATTTATTTTACTTTGTTGATTTCTTTCTAATGAGAGATATAGTCCTATAAAATTCTAGTTTTGACTCCATAAAGGCAGACATTTCCTGGAATATTTCAAAACATATTTCAGCAAATAACCATAATAAAAAAGATACAAGTTTACAGGCCAATTAAATTTTAGAAAAATGAAAAACAAAGCAGGAAGAAAATTCATAAAAAGCAGAATGCATCAATAGAAAGTTTGTGTTCATACTGAGATATTATTTTAGCTGTTTTGTATGCTAACCTGTATTATTTAAACATCCATAGTGTGAAAAAAAAGATCATGCCCATCATATTCCCTGTCACTGTCATATAACCATACAAAAATGACATATCCAGTCCCCTCCCATTCACAAAAAACCCTTAAAAGGCAAAAAGTATGCATCCATAGTAAAACACTTTGAATGGTTTAATGAATGTAAATGAATTTTGATTAAAGGAATTAAAGGATCTCACCTCAGCTGCAGCATAACCAGGGTACAGCTCCACTCCAAGCTCCTCAGCCTGCTCCCCCAGCCAACGCACAAGGTTTCCCAACCTCACAATGTAGTTACCATGGTTCTGCATGGGCAGCCCTACAAACATTTAGATTAATCACACAAATATAGTCCTTCTGAATGAAGCACTGCTTTATTAACTGGCTCCAGAGATGCCATATAAAAAGGAGACTCTCTGCTAAGGAAAACATGTCTGAGTGAATCAAAAATAACAAATCCAGAATGTTTAGTCAAATATATATTTAGAACGCACACCACTCAAGTATATTTCATCTTTAGTATATCCATAATATTAACAAGATGCACATGGATTGCAGCAGAGGCGGTGCAGGCTGGTTTAAATTGCTCCACTTATTTAAAATGCTTGGAGCCCTTTTATCCATGCTAAAGCAGAAACATGAAATCATTCAGAATCCTGTTCATGATTATTTACATTGTTTAGAGGCAGAAAAAAATGCAGACTACACCTTTTTGTTTGTAAATATAAACACTCTGTAAACTAATTAACTAAATAGCTCCCATTTAGCTATGCTGTATGACGTATCCAGCGTATCTTCTCTGCTGTGCCTGGAAGGTGAGGATGTGATGACACAAAAGTGGGTGGCATTACGCACAAATGGGTAACATGAAAGACGAAGACGTGGTGGCAGCAAGCACAGTAGAGTGGGAGGGTTTTTGTGATTTAATGCCTTTCATTGAGTCTAACTGTAAGATTAAAACCAGCCAGAACAACTTGTTTAAAAGCCCTAGTATAAGGACATGGTCTCTACCACCAGATTGTTGGATTACACTAAAAACAGAGCTATATCACAGCTACCATCCACCTCATTAAATGAAGGGGGAAATATTCTGACAGCATGTTAGAGCAACACACCCTGTCTTTTATTGATCATTTTAAATCTCTGTACACTGAAAATAATCAGTGTTTAACATATTTCAATCAGTAACCCAATAGGTTCCTGTTTTGTTATACCTTAAAAATACTGTATTTTCCGGGCTTTGGCCGCTACTTTTGCACCATGCGGCTTATAAGAAAGTGCGGCTTTTCTGTGGATTTTTCCTAACCGCCAGAGGGGGAAGTCAAAGTTGGAAATCAAAGAATAAGGGCCTAATTTTCATTTAGCACAAGAACATGCTAGCAGCAGGCAAGACGGAGAACAATTTTTCAAATTTACACATTTTGACATTTGCTGCATTAAAGCTGCCGAACCAATGAAGAGACTGGGCTGAACTCCTGCAGAGCTGAAATAAAGAGCCGATGAAGCCCCATCTTTCAGTCGAAGCTCTTACTGCTGCAAGCTAACAAGCTAACGGGAGCTAGCATTATTCTCTGTCCCAATTCTATAGCTCCCCCTACAGGTTTGGTTGGAGACAGTTCAGTAGATATAAGTGGCTTATAGCCCAGTGCGGCTTATAAATGTACATTTCCGTTTTTTTCTCTCCAAAAAAAACGGAGTGGGCGCGGCTTTAGTAAGGTGCTCTCTATAGTCCAGAAAATACGGTATATTTATTAATTTGCAAGAATACATTTCTGTAGAGTCAATATCCAATATAGTTGGTATTCTAAATTATTAAAATATAATTTTCTGAACTCATATAATAAAAAATATTTAGCCCTTCATGTATTGGAAAGATCCTCTTGATACAAAAGAAAACTCAGGTTTTTAAGAAAACGGCCACTTAATGAATCGTTGATCAATCGATGAGATTGATCAACTTTAGAATAATCAATTAACTGAACTTGCATCCCTTCCCGATACAAGGGCTATATATCTTAAGTGATATTACTCAAAGAACAACCGCCAACAAAACAGTATGAATACAACTGAACCATTGATTTTTAACCTATGTTTAACAGAAACTTCAAATAGAAGTGGTGTCTTTTTATCAGCTTTTATAATTCAGAGATATCAGATGCAGACAGACAGACAGAGGGCTAAAGGAGGCGTGTACCTGGTAATATGGGGACAGGGATTCTGTGTTTCTCTGTAAAAATGCTGAACACGTCTTCTGTCACTGGAGTGTTCAGAGGTGCCTGAGAGACAGAGCAAACACATCCTACTTTATTTATACATTTAATTACGGTTTAATATGCCTATCAGTATTAGCACAAAAAAACAGATCTTAGAATACAGCATTTGAGTAGGGGGGATGGGTTAATATGCTGAGGAATTCATTACAATATGTAAATCGCTCCACTACAAGATTTAACACAGTGTGAATCTGTGAATGGGGAATTATCGATAGGAGGAAAAAAAAACAAAATATTGAAGAGATGCAGAGAGAATTGATCTGGTGAGCAGAAATACACCACTTTGCTTTAAAATTCTGATTGATATTTGGACACGGAGACCTTTTATGATCAGTAAGGGCATAATTTGCTAAAGTAGGAGCTAACCTGTGGCAATGACCATGAAACTCAACACGCTACAGCATCTCTTATCTGTTACAGACGTGTTGGACTATGGAATGCTGTTTGCCTTTTGGAAATCTCACAATTGTAACAAGGGTCTATTTACACCTCAGGGAACATTTGGAGACTGAAGTTAATGCTCAGTAATGCTAAAAACTAAAACATTATGTTTAAATTCTAGTTCTTTGTTTTGAAATAATACTGCTGCAGAGATGCACTGTTCTCTCCATTTCTTGCATACATGGAGAGAACTGACCCTGTCCATATAGAAATCAGAGTAAATAAATGATAAATAAATTGAACATTATTGATCTCACATTAGAGAAATTTATCTCTGCATTTAACCCCTTCCCATTGGGAGCAGTGGGCTGCCACTGTGAGGCGCCCAGTGAGCAGTGTGGGGTTCAGAGTCTTGCTCAGGGACCAAGAGTGGCAGTCTGGGGGAGTGGGGGATTGAACTCCCAATCTCAGGATTCAAAGCCCTATGCCCTAACCACTAGACCACCACTCCCCTTAATAAGACTGGGTTTTAAGACAGAGCTGCACCCTAGCCTGGAAGGTTCTAATCTCAATTGCAGATTTTCAGCATCAGAGTTAAATGACTTTTAGGAACGATTGACATCAAAGTTCACATGATGTGTTTGGTTAAAACCCTCACTAACAATGTTCCCCAAGTGTCAATAATAAGAACGAGAGGACTTGTATCTTGATGCTTAGGGGTCATAACATATATTGAGATACTTGCCCCTCGTTCTTTCCAGTCAGGAAAGAGCTCAAAGAGGGCGCTTGGCTCCAAACAGGCTCCCGACAGCGTGTGTGCGCCGATCTGAGGGGCCTTCTCCACAAGGCACACTCGCAGCTCCTTCTCTTGTTCATTTGCAAGCTGCTTGAGGCGAATGGCTGCAGATAGACCAGCAGGACCACCGCCTACTATCACAACATCTGCCTCGTCTGCAAACCTTTCCATTTCGATACCTATGAGAGAAAGACAGGGAAGCATGTTTGTGTTTGAGCAATGCAACAAGTACAACCACGTGTGGAGGATTAAGATAACTCACGATAATAAGAAATAATAAGAATCATAAAACACAAATAGGTAAAATCCAGATAAACTAATATATGAAAACATGCAGAATTAAGACAAAGCTGGGAGAATATTTCAGATTTTTCAACCCATTCTACTAATGATTCAAGATAAGGGCCAGTGTGCAGTAGTTGGACACAATTGGTACCAAATTCTGTTTATGAAAAGAGTCTGCAAGTATTTAAGAGGGAAACACCTGGCCTTAGAGACAAAAAAAATAACTCTTTGAATTTATAGTGCAAAAACAGGACCCCTGATTGTGTTCTGTTCAAGATTAAAAAGATCATGAATTGCTTTTTAATTGTTTTTGGAGTTAAAGTTATCTATAATAAATAAAAACAATTGGTTTTACAACCGATTTCACTTTCAAATGGCATATGAGTAAAAAGTATCAGTGGCCACAAGGTCTCTAATAGAATAGAGAATAGAAAGCGCAAACAATTAAAAGCCATTTTAACAATAACACTTTCTAAAAACAGACATGTTTACAGGAAACATGGGATAGTTTTGATTCATATGCCTGTACAGTTGTAATTCTATTGGCATATATTGGACAATGCATCTTACAAGATTTTTTATTCAGTTTTACAGGTTCTGACTGATAAAAACAGCTTAAAAGGAAAACACAAAATAAACGACAACAAAAAATAACACATGCCAAAGGATAGGATTTGGCATGTGCTATAAAGATCCTTTACCTTAATCTGAGTACATACACGAAGGGAGTGTATCAAAGACCGCACTGGAGTCCAAAAGAACAAAGATATTTCCCCCCCCCCCCTGTGTTATCAGCCACCATAAGGTATGAAAAAGGTTTGAGAAAGAGGCTGAAGTTATAAACCACAGCTGCACACAGTTTTACTCCAATACTATGAACCATGAGAGGTGAAAGGAAACGACACACGGTAGAGACTGGGACATTTGTTGTTTTGGAACCAGAATAACATTTGTTTGTTATGAATTGGAAGAGAGTGACAAGGACAGAAGGGGGGAAGTATTAGGATATTAATTTCATGTCGTCCTTACAAGAGCTGAATTTGGGAGAATCATTGATTTCTGCATTGATCAAACCCTACAAAACAAAAAAAAGACACTACGCGACTTAGATCTAGCTATTAAGACCTATCCAAGTATTGTCTAATATGTATTGATTGTTATAAGCTTCTCAAGGTCAAGAATGAGAAGCTGATGTTAGCATTGAATCAGTCGAGCTCTCAGATTGAATCGGCTTGTCATTTTCAAACAGATCAATTAAATCAGCAGTACTCTAAGGGGAGCGTTTATATTCCATATCCAAGCAGTTTATTTTCTTTTAAAGGAAGGAAAATACTGGCAGTATGTAGAATAGTGAGTATAATACTCTGCAGATACTACTTTGGTTACTTTGGCACTATAATATAAAAACTGGGTTTAACCACAGGAAAAGTAAAATGGAAAAATACATGTTACACCTTGGTAACATATTGCCAAACATTTCTAAATGTGTTTTAAACTATAATAACTAGCAGCCGTTTCTTTCTACTTAGGGTGTGTTGCAGAAAAGGAAATAAAAAAGTTCACATTGATATCTTTAAGACGATCAGGTTGGATCATTAATATACCAAGATCTCATGACGGGTATAAAAACATGAGCGACCTTTATGCAAGAGGTGGATACCTGGCTCTCTTATATAAAAGAACTTCAGGAAGTTACTTTAACCATAAATACAGGGTGTTGTAGGTCTCACCTTCCCATCTTGAGTCTTTATCTCGGGGATGAATGGTGTAGTGTGTGGTGATGCGGGGTGCTGACACTGAAGAGCAGGTCCTCCTGTGTATACTGCTGTAAAGTTGAGGGGCTGCAGGGTCTGTCTGCAGTGTTGTCAATGCCCTGATACATCTGTGTGCTGCAAGAAAGATCCCAGATCAGACCAGTTAGAACAGGTGGCTGGGAACCACTTTTAACTGGTTCAGATTGGTAAAACTGTATCCTCTGAACAAAGATTTAAATCAGTTCCATTAGGCAAAAAAACAACAAGTTTCAGCTTTATTAGGCAAAGAAGTTTAACTAAAACCATTACTACAACAAGATGATGTTCTTAGAAAACAGCTGTCAAACAGATAAAAACACATCAAGTTTTGAGTCTTTTTCTGAAAAATAATACTGTTAATTATTTTCAACAATAACTCATAAGAACAGTCTGAAATATCTTAATAATATTCAGCAGATATTTTTTTCACCCATTTCATGTGACCCAAATAACCGATTCAACTTTCACCCAGATTAGCATTATGCTAGGAAAAATGAGCATGCTAATGCGATTTAACCTTTTTTTTTATTCCCCCTATATACATAAAAAAATAAAGAAATAAGGAGAAACATCGACTTATGTTAATAGCTGAGCATGAATTCACAACAGAGTTTAACTTTGTAAGTTTAAATGAAAACCAAACCAAAGTGCAGCCCGTTAGCCTGTTAGGCTAAATTAGCTTCCCTACCTTTGCATGTGTATCTGCTGACTGGAAACATCCTCTGTCCGTTAGCGCTAACCCACCAGAAGACCAGAGCTCCCCTTTCAAAGTCGGGCAGACAGAGGTGGCTCCGTGTTTCCTCCGAACCCGGTCCAAAGTTTATGAAACCCGGTCGCCCAGCAAGTGACCGCAGAAACTGCCTTACAAAACACGTCTCATAACACAGACAGTGGGGAGCGTCAAAAGCTGCGCTGCTGCGCTTGCCTAACAGCTCTGTAACTGCGCATGTGTAGATCTATATACTTCAAAACATCCGGATGGAAGTTTAAAACACAGCGCATAAGGTATAGAGATCTGGAATAATATAGAAGAGGGTCCAAACGGTTTACTGTTTCATTTGCTAATGCTTGATGCTAACCATCAATAGAAGAAAAGTTGTTCACTTTAATTTTAATCCTTTATAGGACAAGTTACAGTTTGGAGTCCCCCCCACCCCATCCCTCAGTGAGTTTTAGAAGCACAACATCTATATCCAGCCATTCAGCAAGGATGCTGCTACATGGCTGTACATCTTATTTTGGCATTTGACCAATTAGATGAACCCTTGAATTATATATTACCTACTGTAAATTAAGTTGGGGGAAAAAAGAAAAAAGTTAACTAGTCAAAAAAAAAAAAGGTAAAAAGCTAATTGAAATTTATAAACTAAAAAATGTAAGTTCCAGTATCAGCATTAGTGCCTCTAAAGTTATTTTAGACCAAAAACATTTTTTGTGAGTGTAAAAGCACTTTTCTTCTTTGTCTTAATATATTCTGGAAAATTTACGTAAGAGGATTAGGGCCACTGGAAAAAAAAAAAAAAAAAAGAAAAAAAAGTTAACTGACTTTTACATTTTATTTCAGTTTAATATGGGATTTTTTTTCTCTGAATTCTGACAGCTAACAAACCTGTTAGCATCAAGCTGTAGCCATGTCTGTTTTAGAGACTAAACTAGCTCTCTTGTTTTAACCACCCTCTGCTCTCCATTAATGAAATAGCATCACCGGGGACCCCTTGGGCACGTAAAAAGTCGCCTAATTCCATCATTTTCCACCATTGTGGCAATGGCCCTCCCAAACAACTCACATCTTGTCAATGAAGCTGAGTGCTCCCACATCTCTTCCTTCATGGTGCCCATCTACATTAAGATCCACAATTCTGAGATTAAAGTCAGAATTCTGAGATCAAAGTCAGAAATATGAGATTAAAGTCAGAATTCTGAGAAACAAGTCCGAGTTCTGAGATTAAAGTAAGAATTCTGAGAAACAAGTCAGAGTTCTGAGATTAAAGTCAGAATTCTGAGAAAAAAGTCAAAATTCTGAGAAAAAAGTCAAAATTCTGAGAAAAAAGTCAGAATTCTGAGAAAAAAGTCAGAATTCTGACTTTTTCTCCCATATTAAACTGAAATAATATTTAAAAATCATTTCAACTTTTTTTTTTTTTTCAGTGGCCCTAATCCTCTTCAGTACACGTTGGTGTTTCTTGTTATTACATTGACATTCATTTTTGCCATCAAAATATCCATATTTTTTGAATGTTACAAAGATAAGGTCTTCTCCTGGATTTCAATAACACTATTGGCTTGAGATTTTGATTTTCAAAGTATTTCACTGAGTGCCCTATAAAGGGTTAAGCAGAATTTGAAAGAGCTGTAATATTAAATTACTAAATATTTTAAAATAAAATAGCACTAGATTTAAATTTTTTGATCAAGTAAAAGAAGTAGGTAAAATAAAAGTTAAAAATTAGAAGGAGAAGCTAAAGTAATGCGTAACTGAAAATAACAATTGACTTTATAATTAAGACGATTAAATAAGACAAAAACAGTCAGGTGCGAATTATGACACTTTGAAAAAACGAGAAAAGCAATAAATTTACATACTTGCAAAAAATGAGTTCAGGTAAAGGAAACCTTTCTCTCAAACAAGTTTCAACATAAACCTTATTAAACAAAGTCTCTTATAGTAGGTACTACATATCTAATAAGAACATAGGAAATTACATCAGTGACAATATCATCTGTATAGAGCATATTTACCTGCCCTACAAATGGTTATACTGGTAAAAATTAACATAAATTTAAGAAAAAGCAAACAAGAAGTGTCTATTTTAACAAGTTTTTGTATGTATGTATGTATGTATTGCGGTTTTGGCTAAAACCCAGTTGTTCTTTATACACCTAATACAATTAAGTGTCTTAGAGGATGGCTTGGCAATAACCTTTCCAAATGTAGAAGTACTTTATAAGATGCTAAGTTAAGGAAAAGCACAAAGTAGTGTCCAGTAAAACTAACCCTTAAAGGAGAAAGAGGCTCTTTCCAACCATTTATCTTTCCAGCTCTAATCTATTAGTTATATCAACTGGATTAAGGAAAATAAGGAATGGTTTTAGTTTTTGGACCTGGATTTTCCACCTCTGATTTAATGTTTTGGGCTTAAAAAAAAAAAAAAAAAAAAGGAATTGTGTTAAATGAATAAAACATAACTAGTCACCACCCACTTGTGATTTCACTGTTAAATTAGAAAAAGATGGTGTCTTTCTTGGTTTGATGAAATAATTTTATAAAATTGATAGCAAACCCATTGAGTAAACATCAAATAAATTTTTCATCTTATGAAATAAAATCATATTTTGGTAATAAAAACTGTTATTATTCATGGAAAACCTATAAACTGTCTATTAAATTACTTTTCTTGAGTATTTTGAATTAAATTAAAGTTACTTTCCAGACGACCCAAAAACTAGCCATAACTGTAAAGATTTCTATCTTCCAAATGGGGAGTTTTTCCTCTCCCCTGTCGCTTCATGCTTGCTCATGATGGACAGGTTACCTAAACCTGTGTTATCCAACTGGACTTCCATCTTCCAGGTCCCTGAGTGAAGCTCTAGTATCGGCTCACACAGTCCACTGGATCTCCTCATAAAGCTCAGCAGACCGTCTCACTAACCTACAGTCTACAGACTGACCAACTTCATCTATCTCCACTCCACCAGTTTTAGGCCTGGGGGGAAACAACTATTCTTTTCTCCTGTTAATGCATATCAATCAAAATTCAGTGCCCAAATTCCTGCTGAGGTCTGAGCGCCAAAGACAAAGTAATTGTATTAATACATTTCTCCTAATTGTCCTTTCTCTTCGTGTGAGTTTTTCAGATTAAAATTGTATTGTATTGTAAGAAAGAATTGTGAATTATTGTAACTGTCCTTGAGCCATATTACCCTTTTATGCAACCCCTATGTAATCTATTGGCATGCAGGAATGTACTTTTACAAAATCCCGATATTTTTTATGTTTGATTCCTACAATTGTCCTCAAATGTGGTGTTTGTATCTCCTGCCATGTTAAACCGGCTCATCTGTTTTTGAATACTTAAAAGAGCCCATCCATCCATCCATCCATCCATCCATCCATCCATCCATCCATCCATCCATCCATCCATCCATCCATCCATCCATCCATCCATCACAACCCCTTATTCCCTTACGGTGTCACGGGGGGTAGTGGAGCCCATCCCTGTAAATGGGCTTAAAATAATTGATTGACACAAAAGGAATTTTTTTAATTTTCTCTCTTATTTTTCACAATCAGTACTGATTTATATCAAGATATAAAAATACGTTTTTAGGGTCAACTCTATATTAGGACATAAGCCATGTGGGGCTTCCCAGCATCTGTGTTCTAATATGAAATTCCCCTAATAATAAAGTTACATAATCTACTCAAAACTGCAATGGGAGAATGCTATAAACATTTGGGATTTTCCCCATCAGTAATATACACAGTAAAAAGTCCTGAAAATATGCACTCAGACATACATGCAGCATAATTATCTTGTCTTGGGGAGAACTGCTTCTAAATTCTGATTGGAGCACGACTAGTAAACACTCTGTAGCCCTTTTATCATTGCTTTCATGCTGAACATTCAATTTCTTTTGTTGCACTTTATGTCAAACACAGTTAAATTCTTTCCTTTAGTTTAAATCTTTATTTTCCCTTTTTTCACATGTAGAGAGAGGAGATGAAACATCTGGCAGACAAGTTTTAAACTCACATACTGATTTGGGAATATTTTAAGAGAGATTATAGTGGACTTTAGGAAGAATCAGCCCAAAATCACTCTTCTCATGATCAACTCTGCCTCCTCATCCAAAGCAATTCTGGAGCCTCTTTACAAGGGTAGCAGAGCAATTCCACATGTGTCTATAAGCATCCTCAGAATTTTTTTTTTACTTTTTGCCTGTTTTCTACTACACTGCCATGTTTCAGCTGAGGAGATCATTAGGAATACCCTTCCTCACCCACAGAACATTGCAAACAAATCCTGTCTGAACCTGACCTTAACATAACCTCCGGGAATTAACTGAGATTTCGGAATCCACAAAGCAGAATCACAAGGATCAACAACAGTTTGTTTTCAAATACCACAAAACTGCTAAAGACAATATTTCTCCTCCTCATTCACACCTCATTCAGAATGTTTCACTAAGGAATAAATGCTATACTGCTTTTTATAGTTTTAGTATCCTCTCTACCTTTATGCTATGAGTCATTGCATCAAATTTTTTTTTTCTTTTTGTTATCCCATCAATAAATGCGAAAACTGCCAAAAAAAAGCATTTCCTTAGGTGTCTGAGTTCTTAAATGCAAGTCTGGTGATGTGAATACTTTAAGGTTTGTAATTGTTCCATGTTGTCAACTCATACAAAAAGGTGATATCAGATGTTTCATCTATGATAATACATTAAAAAGTAAACTTTACAGCAATACAAGTACAAATCTTTTATGAGTACAAATAAAAACGATACAAGCACTAATTATGGCTATGAATCTACATCCCCTGATGAATCTGTTACACTTATTTCCAGTTGGTGGCGGTAATGGACCTGAAGGTTGTTGTAAGAAACAACCATTGATTGAACATTATTCTTCTGATTCAAACATTGTTGTGAACTTGGTTCATGGTTATGTTTTCTTTTGCTTCTTCCTTTTCTCGTTTCAAGGTGGTTGCCAGAAACTTTCAGATGCGCTACCAACACCAGCGGGGGCTGTAAATTTGTATTTTTAAATTTGTGATTTGTGGTTTCACTTGTGTAGAATGCCAGAGGAAGGACCCAAACCTCAGCTAGACACAACAGGGAGTGATTGATATATTGACTCACATAATTCAGCAGACCCTGCTGGGAACCTCTGAGAGGGACTAATCAGGTTTGT